GTATACCCTGTGAAGCGCTTTGGGACATCTCAATGACGGGATAAGGCGCCGTATCAAATGCAAGGATGATAATAATAATAATTATCTTTATTATTAAGGTCTCGGCTCCGTTTCAAGCCACTTGGCAGCCAGCGGTGGGAGCTCAGACTGGGATCCCTTCAATGCCTTGTGCCGCTTCCCTTTGATAATAGCATGGGATTGGACACAAGGCTCTCATGGTGACGTACCCATGACACTCCCATGTGGAGCCGCAGAGGGTGCTTCTTCTGTAGACACAGGTTCTTCATTAAGTTACAGACAGTGCGCAGTCAGGCACGGAGCCGGAATGGAAAACATCTGTCAAAAAGTCGCCCGGTTTCAAAAACAGCTGGATTCAGACATGCTGAAGCAAACCTCAAGTTCATTTTCCTTCCATTCTTCACTGATCTACTTTGGAAAGGTCTACGTTGCCTCAGGTTCCTAGAGTGTGGGGACAAGAGGAAACTTTATACTTATGATGCTTCATTGACCTAGGATGTAAAGCTGATCAAATGGAGAGTGACACTTTCCTGTTTGGGGTTTAGGAATTTCCTTTGTAAGGTCACATGTGGAACATTTTGGTGCAGCGCAGGTTTGGGCATCTTAAAATAAGACACAAAAGCGTCAGTGAGGGATCAGGGGAGAGACACAAAGAGGAGTTCTGGGTTTGGAGCATTAAATGTGCGAGGTAAATCCTCACAGAACTGAACTTGCTTTCATTGGCGAAAAGAAGATCGAGGTCTTTGTACTGATGAGACGTATGCATTGTAGATGCAAGCAGATATTTGACTGGAAGGGAATATTGCCTCTGAAGACAATAATAATAATAGTTCATTAATAATTCTTGCACTTGGTATGGCGCCTTTCACGTCGAGACACTGTCCCAAAACGCTTCACAGGATTTACTGTAAAGTGCAGTAACTGTGTGTGTTTTATGGGAGAGCTCGGCAGCAACATCCCACAAATAGCCATGAAATGAATAACTGAGAACAGAACCTAGCTCTCATCACACATGAGAGTCCTGCATCTCAGTGGTTAGAGGACTCGCCTCGCAAGCGAGAGGACCCGAGTTTGATTCCCTGCAGGACGAAACGTAGCACAAGTTCCCTTACTCCACACACCTCTGTTTACCTACCAGTAAGTAGGAAGCCGGTTGTTAGTCGATTGGCAGATCACTTTCTCCGCGGGTAATAATTTCTTCAAAAATAATAATTTGTTCACTTAATCCATGACTGTTTGTGGGACACTGCTGTGCGCAATTGGCTGCCAGGTTTCGCCCACAAAACCTACAGTCAATTCACTTTAAAATATATTCTGTGAAGTGCTTTGAGACGTCTCGAAGACATGAAAAGGCGCTGTATCAAGTGCAAGGATTATTATTATTTATTATATTATAGGGGAGGTTTCGCTGGTCTGTGATAAGAGCAAGTTCGATGGCCTGAATAGCCTTGTCTTGTGTTGTGATTGCTCGCAATCTTGTGTGACCATCTGCGTGGAACCCAAAAGAAAGGAAGGCAATGTTTATTCTAAATGTTTCTTCCTACCCAGAATCCAGATCAAACCTAAATTACGGTTCTGTGGTGCAATATAGCTTGCAGCAGTATAGAGCACAGGGAGTTGGATTGATTGATTAATATATTCCACTCCCATTTACCATGCCTGAGGATGAGGATGGCTCTTGTCCTCCACAATACAATGCTAGCCAGTGTTAGCTTCCTTTCATCATAGAACCGCAGATCATATACAGCACAGGAGGAAGCCATTCATTCAGCCCATCATGTCTCTGCTGGTGCAGAAATCAACCTTATTATTAATAATAATCTTTGCATTTGACATAGCGCCTCATCATGTCATCGAGACATCTCAAAGCGCTCCACAGAATGTATTGTAAAGTGAATTGACTGTATAATTTGTGGGTGTGATTTTACCAAAATCCTCGTACATTATTTCAGGTGGTTTCCAAGGTCTTGCCCATTTAAGTGCATTTTTGAAGTTTGTTTATGACGTAGCCCGAGGTTCTCCCCCAAGCTAACACCTGTAACTATTTCAGACCTGCTAGTATAAATAAAGGTATACAATATTATTCTCTGTTCATCACCGACAGGCGTTGATTTGTAACTGGCTTAACCCTGAATAGCAGATCTTGGCTGCAAATAATTAACACCCAGCTCGGGTGTGACTGTCATCAAACTGGGTGAGGACTGGGGTATGATTCACAGAAGCATTAATCACCCACCTGGCACCAGCAAGTGATCTAACCTGAGCGGATCTGAAGGTCGAAATGGTACCTTTTTATAGTAGATTGTCTCTTTTAATGATCGACTCGTAGCTGTGTACCTCTTGTCTTTTTGTCACTGCTGAAACTTCTTCCCCCCAGTGAAACTGATTTTTTTTCTCTCTCTCTCTCTACAGACCATTCAGCCCCTCGAGCCGGTTCCGCCATTCTATAAGATCATGGCCGATCTGTACCTCAACTCCAATTACCTGTCTTTGCCCCATATCCCTTGATACCCAGACTTGGCAAACATCTACCCACCTCAGTCTTGACAATTTGAATACCACTGTCGCCTGCTACGTTTCAGGTATTTTAGGACATTTTGTCTCCTCTCCAAGCAACGCAGTCCTCCCCCAAGGCTCGCGAAGATGACCTCCCTTACTACCAATCTGGCTTCTCCACACGGACCTGCTCCCAGACCAGTTATCTTGACTCCAGTGGTTGGTACATGTGCCGATCCCTCCAATCTGCTCAGCCTGGCAACAATTACAATGCCAGGCTCACCAGAGGCGCTTTCTACATGAAAGGAATTTTTTTTTCTCTAAAAATGCTTCAAGGAGCACTTTGTTCAATTTCAGATTTCCACAGCGAAGCCCACAACACAAGCAAAGTAACACCATTTTTTTGGCTCTGGGCTCCTTAAACGCTGTGTAAATTATCACTTAGCTTCAGATCACAGAGGTGGAAAAAATACAAAATTCCCGAGCCTGTTCTGTGCCCTAATTAATGACATTCCTGAATTAAGCAATGCTTTGTCTACCGGACAGAAAATGCTGCTGGGTCTGGTGGCAAACTCAGAACAGCAAGGAGAAGGAACAATAATAAACCTATTTATTTAAGTTTTCTGGAGATTCTTTTACTTTTGAAAGTTGAGCGCCAAATCCACGGCGGTTTCGGGTTATAGGGACTTTTGGTTTCCGTTGTTGTTTTGGCTGTCTGTTGCGTGGTTTAGAACAGGGTGCACACATTATCTGCCGCATTCACCCCCAAAAGTACGCAGTCACTTTACAGGAGAAAGTCAGCGGCTTGGAACGTCCTCCCGACGTGAAAGGCGCTCTATAAATGGAATCTTGTTGTTGAGAAAGATGAGATACATCACACCATACAGTGAATCCTGCGATGCTGTGATAAGGCGCTATATCAAATCCAAGGAACATTATTATATCATAGTAATATTTTCAACCTTTGACCATTTGCTGACGTGAGGAGTCAACCATAACAACTTGGATGTATCCAGTGCCCTTCACATGGGGCAGCATCTGGGAACGCTTAAGAGTAGCGGAGCCTGATGTTGAGCCGGGGCTGGGGTGGGGGAATGAGGAGAGGCAGGAGGAGACTGTAGGCACGGTCGAAGATGAAGGTCTTGAGTCGTGATCTACAAGAGGGGAAGGAAGGGGGGGGTCAAAGGCAGAGGGTTTGGGGGAGAGACTTTCGAAGCTTCGGGGTGAAGTGACTGAAGGGGAGGGGACGGGCACAGCACCTCTGTGCTGGCGTTTGCGTTTGGAACGTACGATTTGAAGCTTTTTTTTTAAGACAAAGACAAAAAAAATGGTGTTTTTGCTGACATGCTATTAAGCAACGATTCGCCCTGTCAATCATAACCTGCCTCTGACTCCCATAGAGCGAGGCAGCAGTCAGCAGCTCTGCTCTCCTTCAATGGGACTCAGCTGCAGAGGTCTGAGTACCACTGGCGAAGGAGATGGGATTTCTCTAATAAACCCCTCATTTGTAGACGTGTGAATTTTAATTTGGGTTTAATCGTCAGGGGGGGAAAGACATCAAGCTCCTCTATTTAATTTGGGCGCCCGGGCACACAGTTTCATTAAGGAGAAAATACTTGCCTCTCATATCTGGGGCAAGATTTAATTGAGTTGCCGGAAAAAGTAGCCCCAAAATAGATCATATTTCTGACGCTCGGTTACAGAACAGCATCGGCTCTTAGTTGTGGGACGAGCGCTGGGTTTTAATGATGCATTGGGATCCCTTCTCACTCCTCTGCTCAGCACTTCTCTACTTATTCACACCAGACACATAGGTCACTCAGTCCACGACTGTTTGTGGGGACGCTGTTGTGCGCAAATGGCTGCCGCGTTTCGCCCGCGAATCTACAATCAATTCACTTTACAGTATATTCTGTGAAGCGCTTCGAGACGTCTTGAAGACGTGATAAGGCGCTATATCAAATGCAAGGATTATTTTTATTATTGTAGTAAAATAGTCCAATAATTCAGCATCACCAGTGAAATCTTATCGCTAGTTTCCAGGGCTTTCCAGTGAAGGATCGTCAACCTCCACCTGAAAAAAAGACAGGGACAACAAAAACAAATGACATTTGTATAGCGCCTTTCACATTGGGAGGACGTCCCAAAGAGGCGGACCGTCAAGGATTTGGACCCGAGCTGGAGGTTGGGATCAGGAGGGGTTGAAGAGGAGGCTCTTGAAGGAGGCAAGAGAGGAGCCGAGGCAAAGGGATTGTGGGATGGAGTTCTAAAGGGTGGAACTTTTATTGTTTTAATATCTCATCTGAAAGAAGGCATCTCTGCCTCAACCCCCAGCGCTTCATCGGAACATCAGCCTAGACTACGTGCAATCAAAGTCCCAGCTTAAGTCCACCAACCTTCCGATCCTCCAGTCGACTAACAACCAGGTTCCTACTTATTGCTCAGTAAACAGAGGCGTGTGTGGGTAAGGAAACTTGCCTAAGGTTTCGTCCCGACCGGGAATCGAACCCGGGTCCTCTCGCTAACGAGGCGAGCGCGCTAACCACAACACTACAGGACGCCATCATGGCGTCGCGATCTGTATTTTTTTTTAAACCTGGGTCGTGGCTGCCTGGCATGTGGCATTCGCGTGTGTTTTTTTTCCCCAAGAAAGAGAAAAAAAATCTTTTATTACGTGTCCTTTGAGAGAAACCTGTGTGTGTGTGCGTGTGTGTGTTTTATCTGCGTTGATGAAAGGACAGCGGCTGGTTAGCTTGGTTTTTATCCCTCCGTCCCTCACTCCCTCCCTCCTTCCCTCACTCCCTCCCTCCTGCTGTAACAATAGGTAGTAAGGATACATCAAACCGCATGGGCTGGTGTTGAGTGTTCGGCTGCCAGGTGCTCAGACCCAACGGGGGGAATAGCCTGCCAGCTGCACACCCCCTGCTTAGCGCTGTCTGCTCTCCGTTACCCAATCCATAGTGTCAGTTTCCATCTCGCACAGGGCTCTGCTCCTCCGAGAAAATAAAACGCCAGGCTCTCTCTCTCTCTCTCTCTCTCTGTCTCTCTTTCTCCTTCCTCATTGGGAAGGCTGTGATGTAACTTTTTAATGAGAATCATTTTTCAAACGCACGCTTTGGTCCGTTGATGATAATAATGATCAATGCGTCACAATAATAACAAAAATATTCCTCGCATTTGATACGGCGCTTTCTCATGTCGTTGAGACGTCTCAAAGTCATTCACGGGATATGCTGCGAAGTGAATAAATTGCATATTTTGTGGGAGAAACACTGCAGCCATTGCGCACAGCAGTGTCCCACTGTCATAGATTTTTGAGTGACCAAATTATTATTATTATTACTTTTAAGGGATTTATTACCCCCAGGAAAGCGATCGACCAAATGACTAACAAGAGGATTTCCCACTTTCTACTGAGGAAACAGAGACGTGCGGAGTAAGGAAACTTGCTTGAGGTTTTGCACTGCCCGGGAATCGAACCCGGATCCTCTCGCTTGCGAGGCGAATGCTCTAACCAATACGCTACGGGACTTCTCGTCTATGTAATGCTTCCAGCTTGCAAGCAAATCATTCATGGTAGCGACTGCTCAACTTGCTTGAATTTTTGTACCCTAACTTTAGCTGAAGAGATGGGGGGGAAGGGAGAGAGAGAGAGAGAGAGTGAGAATGAATGGGTTCATGTGATTTATTTTTGCCCTAAAGCAAACCCATTATTTCTGTTGGAACCGCATAAGAGTCGTACTGTTTTCATGAAGTGCTAATGAGATGCGATCAATTTGTGGACTTGAGAGCAAGTGGAAGTCTTTTAAAGTGCCTCGCGCTGATTGATGTTGACGACCTTGTAAACTCCTTTCAATTCGGGCTGAAGTGTTTCAGGTAGAGTTTCAAAAAGTGCCGTTTTTTTTAATTGCTGGTATTGATCACGAGACGTGTCCTCAGAATCCTGGGTTTGTGTCGATAGCTTCAATGCCATTCAATAGGGGGGGGGGCAAAGTAACTGCAGAGAGGGGGGTTTGCCTTAACCCAAAGCCTCCAAGGCATCTGCTATCAAAACGTTGTCTCTTTGTTGTCTACTATGTGATCCTCACCCTCTGGAACTCCATCCCACAGTCACTTCCGCCTCGCCTCCTCCCTTGCCTCCTTCAAAGCCCTACAAGACGCTCCTCTTCGACCGCGCCTTCGGTCACCCTCCAACCCCTCCTCTCCTTGCCCTCCACCCCTCCCCTTATCCCAACCCCCAGATCGGGTCTAAATCCCTGACTGTCCAGCGCCTTGGGACATCCTCCCGACGTGAAAGGCACTCTAGAAATGTAAGTTGTTGTTGATCGAATGTTTCCTGGTATGTTTTGATTAGTTTAGACTAAAAAAAGGCAGAAGAAACAAGACAAAGTAAGATGATGGAGCAATTAAAATTCCACTCGGTATCAGCCTGTCAAAATAATAATAATAATAATCTTTGCATTTGATACAGCACCTTATCACATCGTTGAGACGTCTCAAAGCGCTTCAGGGAATGTATTGCAAAGTGAGTTTACTGTGTATTTTGTGGGCGAACCGCAGCAGCCAATTGCACGCAGCAGTGTCAAACAAACAGTCGTGGAGAGAATGGCTAAATTATATATTTTTTGCATTTAAATGTCTGTTTTTTTGGAGGGGCTTCACTGAGTGTGCGGAGATTACGGAAATCCTGAAGCATCCCTTGGGAAGCAGTTGCTTTGACCCATGTGGGAGCCAATGTATGACTGACTTCGGGGAGGAGAATTGGTCACAGTGCCTTCTTTAGACTGAAATGACTTTGGCACCTGCTCCCTTCCCAATTCCTGGTGCTTGAGACTGACTCCTTGACCCGTCTCTTAGTTGCCTGACTCGCTTCACCCACAGTCCGTCTTGCACGTGCGGAAGCAATCTGTGAGAGTCCACAATAGCACGGAGGCTCGAGATTAGTTGGGTTGTCAATGTAATGGTACATTTGTCCCAGTCGAATGGATGAGGAAGAGGCCTTACGAGGTCAGGGGCCAAATGGAGTTAGTCGTCAGGACTGCAGCTGAACGATGCGAAAGTAGAAATTATTGCTGTCTTTCAAAGGTCTATAGTAGATCAGCAATGTAATGTCATTCAACTATGGGCAAGGCAGGGGAATGGGACTTAATGAAAGGACTCCCTTTCAGATTATTATTGATAGTAATTATTATTTTGTATTATTATTAATAATTATTATTTCAAATGAGTATTAATAATTCTGGTTGTATATTGTTACCAATAATTATACCACTATTATTAATAATTATAATTTTGTGTACTATTAATATTATTATTTTGTTTATTGTTCTTAATTATTAATAATAATTATTCTTTCAGGCGCTTGGTCGATTGGCAGATAACTTTCCGAGGCTAGTAATCCCTCAGAAAAAAGTTGCCTAAAAAAAAAATTGGCCCTCAATCCACAACTGTTGGTGGGACACTGCTATGCGCAATCGGCTGCCACGTTTCGCCCACAAAATGCACCCAAACCCAAACCATTTTACACTATATTCCGTGAAGCGCTTTGAGATGTCTGAACATGACAAGGCGCTCGATCAAATGAAAGGATTATTATTCCGAGAGCCGGCACAGACACGATCCTGCGCTATAAATTTCTTTGGATCCACGGCGAAAAAACTTATACAGCATAACCGCTGAGAAAAATATGCCCGGCCGGCCCTCAAGGGGCCTTGTCGGTTTGTTTTGGCATTCCCCGCTCCAGTGATGGGTGAAGTCATTGGATTGGGAAGCTGTGGTCAGGCATGGTTCCTGGAATAACAAGGAACAGCCTCGCACTGCAGAACACTGGGAGGGAGGAAGTAGCAGAGTTCAGCTGCGGTTCAGTGCTTGTTTTTCAGTATATATTTTAAAACTAGAACCTGTTAAAACGCACGAATTTCCCACCTTGCGATCTGTTTGGAATAAGCATTAGAAAGTACCTTGCAAAGGATGTTGATATTAGTCACCATATGGGTCCCCCCGTGGCTCGGAGAGGCTTATTCAGTGAATGGTTGAGCCGTGTAGACTTGCACTCGGCGAATTCTCTGATCTGTGCTGAGTTAGCCGATTTGACCAGCTTTGAGACGTTACAACGACGCGAAAAGGCACTACATCAAATTCAAGGAATATTGTTGCATAATAGACTCCCTTGGCGTAGTGGTTATCACCTTCTCCTCGCAAACGATACGATTCCCGGGTGGGGCAAAATCCTGGGCAAGTTTCCTTACTCCGCACACCTCTGTTTACCTAGCAGTAAGTAGGAACCCGGTTGTTAGTCCATTGGCAGATTGCTTTCCGAAGGTAACATTCAATCCCTCCCAAAATAAACCAACAATTTGGTCATTCATTCCACGACTGTTTGTGGGACATTGCTGTGCGCAATTGGCTGCCACGTTTCTCCCACAAAATGCACAGTCAATCCAGTTTGCAATATAATCTGTGAAGTGCTTTGAGACGTCTCAATGATGTGATGAGGCACTACATCAAATGCAAGGATTATTATTATAATTTTCTTAAACAGCAAAAGCATTCCAATCTCTGGCTCCTTGGGTTCCTCTGTCTTGGAGAATCTATAATAATAATAATCTTTGGATTTTGATATAGCGCTTTTCACGTCTTCTCGACGTCTCAAAGCGCTTCATATACTGTAAAGTGAATTGACTGCATATTTGTGGGCGAAACAAATAGCCTGGCATTAGTGCTTGGCTCTTTTTTATGGGAAGAAGGCATTCTTTGCCCGCAAGGCCACGGAGGAGCCTCTGTGATTAGTGACTTAAGAAGCAGAAGTGGTGGCAGAACTAAAGTAGGAACTGATGATGAGTATTACTCAATATCACTAACCAAAGCAGCACTAGAGCCACACACGTTGTGAACTAAACTCCGTATCTTTGCTTTGAGTTACTTGATCCAAGGCAGGGCAGTGCAACAGTTGGGGTGCTACAATTTGGATAATTGGTCTTGGCTCCCTATCAATGACCACCTACTGGAAGCTTAGTTGATGATCAGTGCGGATGTGAGCATCCTTGGCTGTGATTTCTCTCCCTCCCTCCCTCCCTCCCCCCCCCCCACCTCCCCCCCACCCACATCTAAATAGTTTGCTATTAATACGAATCACTGTAAAATCTCACCCATGAAGAACAGCGAGTTGGGAAAGGTATTGGAGACACCCCATGCTGAATTGTATCCCTAGCTTTCAGCCACTCTGCCCCTTCGCCTTGCCCCCTCTGTCCCATTTTCAGGTGGTGCTTGAAGACCTTCCCCTTCAACCGTGACCACGGTCACCTTCCCCCTCCCCCCTGCTCAGCATCAGGGTCCGCCACAGTTAAGTGCTCCGAGACTCTGTCCAGTGTAAAGGGTGCTACATAGATGCTTGTTGTTGTTGTAGTCGTTGCTTAAGACCTTCCTCTTCCACCGCGACGCTTTCGATCACATTTCCCCTCTCTTCCTTTCCCCTCCCCTCCCCCTTCCGGGGGATTCGGATTCCCCGTCAGTCGTATAAGGCGTCCTCCCGTCGTGAAAGCCGGCGCGTAATTTAAGTTG